GGTGCTTTCTTATATGCTATTATAGTTATAGCACCGACTTAGGTTGCGTGCACCGAATTCTGGGCTTTTCGGTTGCCACCGAATTGCCTTTTACCGAATTCGGGAAGGATCTGTTCGGGACGCTTCGCCACCCTCGGAACCTTCGCGTTACACCTGGTTACGAGTCCTTGTGTCGAGCCTATATATAGCATCGTGTTGTACCCAGGCGATCATTCAATTCAAACTCTCTTTTCTGAGCTCGATCCTAGATCCTCACATCGGACGTCACGTTCGACGAGTCGGTTCCCTTTTACCGTCTCTTCCCCTATCGCACTACCCCTCTCCCCACCCCGCCGCTCTTCCTCGCTCTAGGTCCCCCTCCGGTAGACCCCTCCCCCCTCTGGGACCTGCTCCTTCAGGTGTGTCTCGGGAAAACCCACTCCCCTTGATTGAGCCTGTCAGGGTCACTAGTGACTCTGGTGCTGCTCAGGGTGCTGTGTCTGGGGGTGCTGAGCCTGCGGTTGCGGAGCCTGAGCGTGTGGAGCCTGGAGGTGCTGGGCTTGAGCGTGCGGAGCCTGGGGTTGCTGAGCCTGCGGTTGTGGAGCCTGGGGGTGTTGCGTCTCAGCGTGCGGAGCCTGGGGGTGCTGAGCCTAGGGGTACTGAATCAGCACTACGAGAGCCTCTCTCACCACAGCAGCTGCGCGAGTGGTACACTCGGCGCACATGCCTTCGGAGTGGCACTGCTGAAGCTGGAGGCCCTAGAGCTGCTAGTCTTGGAGGTGTTGGAGGTGCCGGAGGTGCTGGAGCTGCTGGCCCCGGAGGTGCTTGTACTGGAGATACTAGAGCTGCTGGAGCTGGTGGTGGTGCTGGTGCTGGAGGTACTGGAGGTGCAGGAGCTGGTGGTGGTGCTCCTGCTGGAGGTGCTCGAGGTGCCGGAGGTGCTGGAGCAGCTGGTTCCGGAGGTGCTCATACTGGAGGTAATGGAGCTGCTGGAGCTGGTGGTGCTGCTGGTGCTGGAGGTGCTGGAGCTGCTGGAGTTGGTGCTGCTGCTGCTGCTGCTCCTAGAGGTGCTGGAGCTGCTCGTTCCGGAGGTGCTTGTACTGGAGGTAGTGGAGCTGCTAGAGCTGCTAGTGCTGCTGGTGCTGGAGGTACTGGAGCTGCTGGTGCTGCGGGCTCTGGAGTTGGAGCCACTAGAGCTGGAGGCGCTGGGGCAGGAGGCGCTGGAGCTAGAGGCGCTGGAGCTGGAGGTTTTGGAGCTGCTGGAGGCGCTGGGGCTGCTGGTACTCGTACTGGAGGTGCTGGAGCTGGTGGTACTGGTGCTGGTGGTACTGCACAGCAGCGACTGTTCTTCGCTCCACCGTCACCGTCGTCTCTGCCACCGTCTGACTCGGTGCTTTGCCAAGTTCTTAGCCTCTTGTATTCTACTGGCCTCCCGACAGCCAGGGTCCCCACTGCCTGCTCCTTCTCCTTACACTTAGCAGTCGAACTCTCTTATAGAGCGTCTTAAGCCTGCGTCTCGTCCTGCCTCGCCTCCTCGCGCTGCTCGCACTGGTCGTCGTGATACACGCCAGCGTCCTCCTCCTGTCCCTTGCAAGCACACTATGGCACTTCGTCCTTCCTCTGTTCCACTGCGAGTTCCCCTGTCGTCTCATTTTGCATCCTCGCTTCCTGACGGTCCACACCCTGAGTCTGACTTAGTTCGTGCTGTGAGTCCTACTGTCACCCGTCTCCTAGCTAGTGTTCTCACCGAACCTTCGTTTGAGTCCTCTGGTGCGTCTGCCCTAGTTGTTGAGCTTGTCGACTTTGCTGCTAGCTGTCGTCCCGACTACGCCGCTAGTCTTGCTGCTGAGTCTGATTCTGTTTGTTCTTCGTCCGTCGAGGGTAAGTGTGCACTTGGCACGGACGTCCTTGAGGATAGGCAGGAGGACTTGGAGTGTCTTGCAGCTGCTGTACCTCATCTCGTTGTCAGTAGATCTGCGGTGTTGATGCCCGATTGATCCTAGAGAGGGTTACAGGCGCGTTCGTCTGGGGGGTTATGGGCGCACTGACCCACTACTGAAACAAGCCCTTTTATCCTTGTGAAGAATGAGGAATGAATGAACTAGCAAGCAGGTGGGTACAAGTAGGAAAACCTAGAAATGTTGTACCCCATATTGTCCACCCCACTACAGCCTACACAGACTATAGCATATAAGTATGACACACCCCCATAGGCAAAGTGGGGGAGAACAAGAGGTCACAAGACCAGTCAAGCAAAGCAAAGCAAGCTCAGGGTGGATCACAACGTCACCACACATTCCGAGCACAAGAGCAAGGCCAAAAGGCCAGTTCACATGCAAGATCATATATAAAGGTAAACAAGCAAGTGCAGGTATAGAGAGATCACAGTACAAGCAAGGTCAAGAAGTGAGCAAGTGAGGCCAAGTAGGCACAAGACCTAGCATAGTATAGAAGCGCTGATGATCACCAGGCGGAAGTGCCTTGGTAAAGATATTAGCAGTGTTGGCCTCAGAGGCCACGTAAGCAAGGCGCAGCTGACCACGCTGCTGCAGCTCACGAGCAAGGAAGTAGCGAAGAGCAATGTGCTTCGTTCTATGCTCCAGTCTGTGCTCCCGACACAAGGCAAGCATCGCCTTGTTGTCTACGTACAGAACTGGAGGAGAACGAGGCGGCTCTCCTAGGTTAGTCAGCAGGTAGGTGAGCCAGCGTAGCTCCTGGGCGGCCATGGCCCCCGCGTAGATCTCAGCCTCACAGCTGGAGCCGAGAACAGAAGACGAGCGGGTAGACCGCCACGAAACAGAGCCGGAGCCAAGGGTGAAGGTGTAACCCTATGACGACCGCTGCGTAGCCTAGTTGTCAGCCCAAGAAGCGTTAGCGTGACCAGTGAGGACCACTCGACGTCGCCCTCCAAGCACTAGCCCCATGCCCGACGTATTGCACAAGTAGCGCAACACCCTCTTCGCTGCACCCATATGCCCTGGTCGGTGTCTCCCAGGAGCAACATAGCGTGCCAAGATGCGAATAGGGTATGCGAGGTCAGGTCGTGTGCAGGTCATCAGGTACATGAGGCAGCCAACAAGCTCTGGGTACGGGCCACTCAACTCTACGGACTCATCCGAAGGCAGAGCTGAGAGCGAGTGGCGAGTAGACAGAGGAGTGGCCTGAGGCGAGGAGTACGTGAAGTCGAAGCGCTGAAGGACCTGCTGCACCATGTGTGACTGGGTCAGGGTAATGGTGCGCTGTGCTCTATCCCGGGTGATCTGCAAGCCAAGGTAGCTGCGCAGTTCACCCAGGTCTGTGCATGTGAGGATCTAGGATCGAGCTCAGAAAAGAGAATGTGAATTGAATGAACTGAATGATCACCTGGGTACAACACAAGGCTATATATAGGCTCAACACAAGGCCCTGTAACCAGGTGTTACGCGAAGGCTCCGCGGGGCATGTAGCGTCCCGAACAGATCCTTACCAAATTCGGTAGAAGGCAATTCGGTGGCAACCGAAAAGCCAGAATTCGGTGCACGCAACCTAGCTCGGTGCTATAACTATAATAAAATATAGGAAAGCACCTAGCCTAGGAAATGAAGCAATTCATGCATGCATATAATTATCCCATGCTAGAAACAGCATAACAAAGTAAAGGCACGGAAGCATAGCTGGCATAAGCCGTCGTACTCTCACACGTCCCCCCCTCAAAGTTGGGTGGCGTGAGGTACGTCGTGCTTACGTCTTGTTGCTCTCGAAATGTCCCGCGTAAGGTACGTCGTGAAACTCGTCCAATAGGATCTGCCGTAGTGGGGCGTAATTCGGTACCCAAATCTTTCCTGAACCCTTCATTACAGCTATGTCTTTCTCCCACTGTAAGAGCTTCTTGATCTGTGCTGTAGCGATCTTTGCGTCCACGGAGTACCTATGTTGGAATAGACCCTTGAGCAGAGGGTTCATCCCGTCGAGCTGGATGCGTGCTATATGTCCGCGGCGCCTCAATGCGTCTGCTTTGTTGTGTAGCCCGGGCTTGTAGACGATGTCATAGTGGAAGTGAGTTTCTAGGAAGACCACCCACTGCACCTGTCGTCGTGAGAGCGTCGGCTGCGACTTCAGGTATTTGAGACTGCAGTGGTCAGTATAGACTGTAGTCTTGGCTCCCTCTAGGTAACACCTCCATGCCTTGAAGGCTATGACTATTGCTAAGGCTTCCTTGTCATGGAAGGGGTGGTTCAGTTCTGCTCCGTGTAGCTTCTTACTGAGGTAGGTAATGGGCAGCAAACCGCGTCCGTGATCCTACATTAGTACTGCTCCGACTGCCTGGTCACTCGCATCTGCTTCCACCACGTAGTCTTTGTCTGGATCCGACAAGATGAGTACTGGCGCTGTAGTCAGTGCTGTTTGTAGCTGCTCCATGGCTTGCTGATGAGGGGTATCCAGATTGTAGGGCGTATTCTTTTTTAGTAGGTCGGTTAGTGGCGCTGCTATCTTAGCGTACTGTGGCACGAACCTGTTGTAGTAGTTGGCGAAGCCTAGGAACTGCTACAACTCCTTCACGTTCTCCGGTACTTTCCACTTCTTGACGGCTTCGATCTTCCGTGGGTCCACGTGTACGCCCTCTGCACTCATCATGTGCCCGAGAAACTGCACCTTCTTCAGGGCGAAGTCGCTCTTCGACAGCTTCACGTAGAACTTGTTTTTCCGCAGGATCTCGAACACCTTCCGCAGATGCTCCACGTGCTCCTTCATGTTCTTGGAGTAGATGAGAATGTCGTCAAGGTACACCACTAAGCACTCGTCCAGCAGGGGTCGTAAGATGTGATTCATCTCCGCCTGAAACGTTGCTGGTGCGTTGTAGAGTCCGAACGGCATCACCAAGTATTCGTAGGAGCCGTATCTGGTACGGAATGCCATCTTGTGGATCGAGTTGTCCGCCATCTTGATCTGCCAGTAACCCTAAACCCTAAACCCTAAGCCCTTGATGTTCATGATCGGCAACGTCGGCTTCCACCTCAGCGCCCCTATGTGCAGCTGCAGTGATGCTTTGCCGTGGATGGGAAGTTTCGTACCGTCCACCATTGTTGCCGAGAACCGTCGCCGCCCCTAGCGGTCCCGTCGCCGCTCCCCTTCCTACGCGGCCCCGTCGCCGCCATGACGCGACCCCGTCAGTGGAGGGGGTGGGGGTGGTGGTGGGAGTGGTGGCTGGGGTGGAGGTGTCGGTGGCGGCAGTGGAGGCGGAGGAGGCGGAGGCGGTGGCGGAGGGAGCGGAGGCGGCAGAGATGGCGGAGGCGGCGGGGGTGGCGGAGGCGGCGGAGGCAGCGGTGGAGCTGGTCGCGGCTCTGTGTAGAGGAGTGGCTCCGGTGGTGGTCCGCGCCAGCAGCAGCACCGCAGTCGTGAGATCCCGTACCCCCAACAGCTTCGTGAGTGGTACGTTGGGCGTCAACGAGGTGGGGGTACTGGTCCCTGCACCTACGTCCTCCGTACCGGCGACCGAGCTGGTGAGCAGTGCGGGGGCTCGCACTCCACCCAGCGCTGCTTCGGCCGGACGCGTGGCGTCACCAGTTCCCTGACGCCACTGAGATCCCTCGCTGGGGAGAGTTGTCTAGGGCGGGGGTTGCTATCTTTGATCTTGATTTTGATGCTATTCTTGCTGCCATGTATGCTGTGTCTACTAGTGATGAGGGTGACTGTTACCTGTGTGTTCCGCCTGACCCGGGCATTGAGGCTGCTGCTCTAAGTGCTGGTGAGGCTGCTGTTCTAGGTGCTAGTGCGTTTGCTGCCTAGAGGGGGTGGCGACGGGGCCTCAAGTGGCGGCGACGGGGCCGCAAAGGGGCCGCAAGGGGCCTAGAGGGGCGGCGTCGGGGCCGCTAGGGGCGGCGGCGGGGCCGTGAAGGGGCCACGAGGGGCCTATAGGGGCGGCGACGGGGCCTAGAGCGGCGGCGACGGGGCCGTGAAGGGGCCGCGAGGGGCCTAGAGCGGCGGCGACGGGGCCGTGAAGGGGCCGCGAGGGGCCTAGAGGGGCGGCGACGGGGTCGCTAAGGACGGCGACGGGGCCGCTAAGGGTGGCGCGAGGGGCCTCGAGCAGGAAAAAAAAAGATCGAGTTAGGTGATGGGCCGTGAGAAGCGTTCCCACGAGGGAACCTGCTCTATACTATGTGAAGAATGAGGAATGAATGAACTAGCAAGCAGGTGGGTACAAGTAGGAAAACCTAGAAATGTTGTACCCCATATAGTCTACCCCACTACAGCCTACACAGACTATAGCATATAAGTATGACAATCCCAATGGTCTAGTGGTTGGGATTCTGACATGGTATTTGAGCGGTCTCGGGTTCGATTCCCGGTGTATGCACATGTAGGCCGTTGGTCCTGGGCCTCCCAGTGTGGGGGGGTGTTAGTAGATCTGCACTGTAGATGCCGGATTGATCCTGGAGAGGGTTACAGGCGCGTTCGCCTAGGGGGCTATGGGCGCACTGACCCGCTACTAAAACAAGCCCTTTTATCCCAATGGTCTAGTGGTTGGGATTCTGACACTCGTGTCCATGCTGCTTTGTCAGAGTTATATTATTGTAACTGCATGTAGATATAGCAGTAGTGTAGTTATCACATTCTGTTTGGTGGATTACCCCCTTTCCTATCATATTTGTACCCTTAGCTCTATAGTGAAGTCCTCTTTCATTGCCAACTCCCTCACACTCTACCTCCTAGCATGGCTCCTAAGGCTAAACCCTAGCAACATATCTTGACATGGTATCAGAGCAGGAATTTCTCCTGAGGACCTATTTTTTTTAATGATCATGGGCCCACCCGTCGCGCCGCCCGTGGACGAACCCCGCGGGTCCCGTTTTTCGCTTTCTGCAGGCCCTTCGTTTCGCGTCGCGCCCGTGCGCCCTTTTCGTCCGTCACGCTCCCCCCGTCGCCCCGCGATCCGCCTTCGCCAGCGCGGACGCCAGCGCCACGGCCAGCCGCGAGCGCCAACGCTGCAGCCAGCCGCGAGCGCCAGCGCCTGCGCGGACCGCCAGCGCCACCGCCAGCAGCTGCGACGGCCGCCAGCGCTAGCGCCAACGCGACCGCCAGCGCCGGCAGTGGGTGATTCCGCCCTTCCCTTCCGTCGTGGGGGGGGGGGGTTGGGGGGAGGGGGCGGGTGTGAGGAGCCTGCCGCTCCTCCCTCCCTTCCCTCTTCCTCTCTCCCTGCAGCAATTGTTGCTGAGGGGAGGGGGGGGGAGAGAGGGTAAGGGGGGATAAAGGAGGGTATGAGAGAGTGGCAGAAGCAGCAGCCCTGCATTTGCAACTGCCACCCCCTGCTCCTGTGGCATCTCCAGCTGCAGCCCCTGTTGCCACTTAATTCGTCTCTTTCGTTTGCTGCTGTTGAGCGGCAGGTGCTGCCGTTGAGCCTGCTGTGCCGCCGCTTGTTGCCGCCGCACGCCGCTCTCCAGGCGACCTGCGCCACATGCACCTTTCTTTCGTTTCTGTATTGGCTAAGGGGTTTCTGCTGTTGTTTCTGCCACTGCTGCACTGGTTGTCATTGCTCTTGCGTGCTAATGCTTTCAGTATACTTGCGGGTTGTGATTTATGCTTTGCTATTCCTGCATGCAGTTAAGGGGGGATGTCAGAGTTATATTATTGTAACTGCATGTAGATATAGCAGTAGTGTAGTTATCACATTCTGTTTGGTGGATTACCCCCTTTCCTATCATATTTGTACCCTTAGCTCTATAGTGAAGTCCTCTTTCATTGCCAACTCCCTCACACTCTACCTCCTAGCATGGCTCCTAAGGCTAAACCCTAGCAACATATCTTCACATGCTTGCACCTGAGGGAGACTTGGATGCTCTAGACATCCCGACCCCGCGCTCTTATGCAGAGGCGATTATGGGTCCCTACTCCTCTCAGTGGTACGAAGATTCACTCTACAACGGCAGTGAGTTTGACTACGAGGGTTGGCACGAACTACTAGAGGTGATCGTAGCTTTGTTTAGTTCCTTAGTGCTTGCACATTCACGGAAGAAATCGACAAGAGTTTCCACTAGGCAAAGTAAAAATTGTAGAAAAAATGATAGAAAAAGAGATGGCAACAATGACGCCTGGTCGACTGCCAGCACAGCTCGGTCGACCGCCTACCAGCGTTGCGTAGAGGAGCCACGCCAGCACTGCAGAAGGGCGATCTGCCAACAGAGGTTGACGGCGTGCCAACGCTGCAGCAGAGCGGCTGTCCAGCGTTGCCCCGTAGAACACAGCAGTGCGCACCCTCTCAGGTGCGCGCAGACGATTCGCACGACTTGCCCTCGACGTCACGCTCCACCTGCGGATTCAGCTCTCGGGTGACGTCGCCCTGTATGCCCATCTGTTGAGTGAGCTACCTACCCCAACGTCTTCCTGGTCGTGCTGTTGAGGCCACGTCGGTGGAGCACGAGGCTCTCGGCGTAAGTAAAGGAAAAGTTGTTTCCTTACAAACCCTCTATTGTTGTTCCATACACGTGAGATAATAAGAGGGGCACTTGGTTTACAAAGAGGTGTGCACTCCACCCGCTGTGTTCAAGTTTGCCGCATTGAAAGGTTTCCCTAGGTTCAACAGTAAATCAACTTCTGTGGAGGAGCAGTGAACGACAATAACAGTCCTCTCTCCGGTTGCGCGTGACGTGTACGCCGCCATGTGCCTGTGAACAGCCAGTTGTTGCTGCCGCAATCCAGCGGGCTGACATCAGCTGTTTCTCACTGCCAAGGTCCCGAGTGGCATTTTGTGTAGTTTTGAACGGTTGAGGTTGGGGTGGGTTTGGGGGTCTGACGCGACGCGAACCAACGGGATTGCGTTGCATGCCAAGCCTCCCACACGAGGAACACGCTCTGCTTCTCCCTTGCATCAGCAGGGTGGAACGGGTGCGTCACCCCGAATTCCGATGAGCGATTCAGCAGGGTGGATCTCCAAAATCATCATGGCCCACCTATCCAAACCTCGTGCCAGCGCAGCAAACGTATCCGCAGCATCAGCTCCAGAAGGAACAAGACACGGCTAGCACGTGGCTGGTTTGGCTCGACAACTCTTCATCCCAACCAGCCCAAACCTTGAGAATTCCGTTGTCTCGCAACAACCGAAACCCCGCAACGGCAACCAACCAATGCAGGCACGATGAAGGCGCCGTTATCCAAAGTGAAGCATCACTCGCTCGCTGCCGCACCCAACCCCCCACCAGGGCTGTCGATTGGTTTGGAGCCAGAACTTGAGAGGCAGAGGTGCCCCAAAAGTTGCCCTGAAATTAACGGGCTGAGAGCAAACCTGGCACTTGAAATCAGGGCTACCAACTTTTTTGCACTTTCGCTAAGGAAACTTCACATCTCTTCGGGTCCGTATCTTAGGCAAACTACTAAGAGCCAGCTAAGCAATAGGCTGAGGTACGAAACATGTCGATGGATTTGACAGGGATGGGAAAAGTAGGGGAATGGCTGGGAGGAGGCGAGTGGACTGGTGAGGGAATGGAAGGGAGGGAGGTATTAGTATGGGACGATTAGGGCTAGCTGCGGGATCTGCACTTGAGATCCAGGTTAGGCCCACAACCAGCACTTAACGGGGACGGGCTTCCCTCAAATCCAGCCCTTAAACTTCGGAAGCTGGGCCGAACCCAGCCCTTCATGTTCAGGGCATTAAGGGCATTTGCCCTTGAATCGTCAGCCCTGCCCCCCACCCACGCTCACCTGTTTGCATTGCAGTGTTGTACTTTTCTCAGGCTGTTGGTCCCTTTGCTCACCCAAACTTGTCCACCACTAGGTCTCTCCTTTTCACTATGCTTCGAGTTTCTGGTGCAACTGCATATAATCAAGCTTGCTGTCGTCCACTCTGACCTGGCGCCCAACGCCCTCCAGTCCCCATAACCAGGACCAGGTTCTTAGTTGTCCCGAGCAACACGTACTGAAACTCGTTTTCTGCTCTCTCGGAAACGTCACCCTCTCGTAACCGCAAACCCCCCCTCCTTTTCCAGCTCATCAGGTCAGATACCTTAAGCAAATACTGTAATACACGTCGAATAGCTTCCAAGCCAAACATCAATAACAAACTACCAGACAATTGACATCGTCCGCGCGGCATCATGGTGAGCCTGCGGCAGATGTTTTCGTCGAAGAAGTCACAGGCGCTGCTCGTGCTGCTGCCCGATGGCTCCATGAAGATGTACACCAAGAAGATGACCGTTAAAGACTTGCTCCTCGAGTTTCCCGCCTTCACCGTCGCTCTCGACCCCGCGCCCGCGCCCGCGCTCGACGAAGAAACCGTTCTCGCCGCCGGCGGTACTTATTATCTTAATCCTTTAGACGGCGAATCGCCCGATGCAGACGCCGCAGGTAACGAGCGCCCTGCCCTCCCGCCGCGGAGCGCAAGCTGCGACCAGGGCGGCGGGTCGCAGGTTGCGCGGGAAGCGGGGGGAGTGCCTTCGCGGACCTTTTCCGCCGCCGCTGCTCTCGCGCGCGTGGATGACGGCCTCGGGGAAGCCGCTGCGCCGGCGGCGGAGTCCGCTGCCCCAGCAGCGCCCGCAAAGCCGAAGGAAACGGACAGCTATGCTGACGTGGACGACGAGCTGCTTGCGTACCTGGTAAGTGGCGAATTGCTTGTTTGTCGTTGCTTGTCAGCGGTTGTTGCATGAGAGGGTTGTGCGGTAGAGGAGTGATGTAAATTATTTGCGACACGCGACAGGTGTATCTGTTTCTACCGGGTACATGTGCGAATGACGTTGCAAAGTTTGCACCTTAGGATTTTGTTAACAAGTGTGTCATGAGAGCGATCTCGTTTAGATTGACGTGTACTTTACCCACACTCTTCATTCGGCCATCAGCCATGCGTAGCGAACCATGGGCAACGACCTCACACCGCTCCACCCACCGCCTCTCTCCTCTGCATCCCTCTCGTAGTCGCGCCTTTATTTATCCAACTCGTCCTTTTGTCCTCTTCGCGATTACCCCTCCTCGGGACCATTCAGGATCTGGGCGACACGCCAGCAGCGCCGCCCGCCCCTCCCGCGTCGCGCCACATCACGAAATTCGGGCAGGAGGACGCGTCGCTCTTTTCAGACGCTGGCAGCTCCCTCGGGGGTAGCGCGCGGGGTTCCCCTGCTGTCGGGGGAAATTCTCCGTCTGGGTTCGGCGGGCCTGTGCTCTCAGGCATGAACGCTCTGAGCGGGCCAATGGGGGGCGGGTCTCTAATGGGTGGCGTCATGGCGCGGAGATCTATGGGCATGGAGTATGGTGGGAGTTTTCAACAACAGCAACAGCTGCAGCAGCAGCAGCAGTACTACCAGCAGTCGCCGTCCAGGCCTACTGCAGCAGGAGGTGCGGCATGTTATGGCGGTATTCTAGGCCGCACTGCCATGATGTCAATGAATGCAGGATCGAGCCCGAGCCACAGTGCGAATGGTAGTACTGGCGGCGGTGGTGGTAACAGTGGTAACCTTCTCTTTGGAGGGCACATGGGGGGTAACATGGCACCACCGCCTACAGGCAGTAATATGATGATGGGAGGCGCTTCTGCTGCGGCAGCAGCAGCGGCGGCTGCGGCTGCAGCGGGTGGCAACATGGGCATGGGAGGAGGGCAGTACAGAAGGCCAGGGCCAAAGATGGGAGTGATGGGTGGGGTACCGCTTGAATCTCCTGCCACACATCTAGACCGCAACGACAGCTACTCGAGTGCTGGGTCAGGGGGAGGTTCAGGAACGTTTAACGTGTGGTAAAGGCTAAAGCACGTCTTTTGCTGGGACTTGCACGCTGGAAGGAGGATAGTGGTGGAGAATAGGGGGGTTGGAGGCATTGTAGAATCCCTAGGTTTGGCTGTTTTTGCTGCTGGTCTTGAGAACACGATTATGCAGGTATTTGCTTGCGTGTTCTAGCTCCAGGCTGTTGGTGCACAGTTTATTTTTTCAAACTAGTCTAATGATACTTGTACATTTTAAAATTGCAATGTTGTACCCTAATCTTCTGCTGTCTTTATCACATTAGAAGTTTCACGTGTAAGGACTTCATTTCTGAGTCATCCAGGGCGTTTTTAGACCGATATCAGGATGTACTGTACCACGCTACGAGGGGCCCTCATAACGGATTACGAGTGGATCGCAAGCGCCCACCCAAACCAGATGGAATATGTCATATCGTTTGCAGCTCATATATGAATGTTCAGGCTGGTGCGTAGCGGTTTCAAGCGGTATATTAAAACAACCATTCCAGAGTGTGTAGCATTGTACTGTACTCAACCGCTTTCACCCTGCCCTACCCCATTTCCCCCCCTCAATGCACACCTGCTCTGCCAGCCTCTGTACAGCAGTGCTTCACGAACACCAGCGATTGGCGAGGCGGCTGCATTCGACTCAGCACAGCAGCAACCCAGGCGAGCCGTGCCGCTTTTCGGCGTGGATTGGATGTTGTGCTTTGAGCGCACGTCGTCCCCTCTCCTTTCCTCTCCTCTCCTCACCTCAATCTTGCTTCTCATTCTGTTCGTGTCTGTCTTCGGGGCTTGCTGGCATAGCCACTTGTTCCAGCCCAAACGCCTAAAATCAGCAAAGATCATATCTTCATCATTTCAGTGCAGTCCAGCTTACTCGTATCTTTGTCGTTCAGTGGTTGGAAACGTCTACTCGTACGTACACCAAAATGATCCCCTGTGCCACGCGGCGTTCGAACTTCGAATAGAGAGACTCGAATTAAATCTCCTCTCCTCTCCACCCGAATACTCGCACCTTGCAAGCCGTCGTTTCTCGTTCCCACAATGAAGAAAAGCCCGCGCGTCCAGCCCATCGTCGTCGCGCGTCTCACCTCTCTCCTCCTCTCCCTCTCCCTCCCGCTCCTCCCCTTCCCCGCCGCCACCGGGCCGCGTCTCGCGGAGGCCGTGCCGCACGTGGGGCGCTGCGCGGTGTTCCCGAGCAACAACGCGTGGAACATACGCGTCGACCGCCTCCCCGTCCATCCGCGCTCCGCCGCTTACGTGCGCTCCATCGGCCTCAACGAGTACACCCACCCGGACTTCGGCTCAGGTACTACTCGGTACTTCTTGGTACCACTAGGTAGTACTCGGTACTACCAGGTACCAGTAAGCTCTTAGGGTTCTTCGAAGAACCATTCCAGCATAAGCAAGGGCGGTAGCGGACAGAATATAAACCCGGCTGTAGATATACCACCTCCCCGCTCCGTGATTCCAACGCCCCAAGTCGCTGCGAGAGATTTAGAAGCCTTGTAGCGCGGGCGCAAGTGCCACTTGGCCTTACTCTGAATCTCACATGCTGTTCGGTTCGGTTCGGTTCGGATGATTGCGCGCGCACTCCCTGCCAGGACGGGAGCAGGGCTCATGGGTGAGGTGACCCCGCATCCCTCTTTCTCCCTCTCCCCCCAACCCAACTTCCTCCCTTCCCTTCCCTCTCCTCCTCCCCCACCTGCTCGTGGTGCAGGCCAATGGGACGGCGGGCCGATCGGGATCCCGGTGAACATGGTCACGAGCAGCACGCGGCGCGTGTTCCCGTCGTTCTACTACGGCGACGAGAGCGATCGCGGGCCGTACCCCGTGGCGCGGCGCGGCGTGGCGGTGGAGTGGGGGTCGGACCACCACGTGCTGGCCGTGGACCGCGACGCGTGCATGCTCTATGAGATCTACGACTTCTCCATGGATGGCTCTGGCCGCGGTGAGACCCGGGGAATGGTGCTGTGCTGTGCTGTGGGGTGCGGTGCGGCGTGGTGCTGTGGTGTGCCTTGCTGTGTGGAGTGGAGTTGTGCCTTCCACCACCAGGACCACGTGCTGGCTGTGGACCGCGACGCGTGTATGCTCTATGCGATTTACGACTTCTCCATGGATGGCAATGGTCTCGGTGAGACCCGGGACTTGATGCTGTGCTCTGCTATCCTGTCCTGCGATCTTGTGAACCTCCCGCATCTACCCACATGGCCCTCTCTCCCTCTCTCCCTCTCTCCCTCTCTCCCTCTCTCCCTCTCTCCCTCTCTCCCTCTCTCCCTCTCTCCCTCCCTCCCTCCGTCCGTCCGTCCGTCCCTCCCTCCCCCCCGCCTTCCGTCCCTCCCCCCCTTTCTTTGTCTGCTGGAAATTGTATCCATTGAAAAGCCTCACAACGAACCAGCTCCCCAACCAAGTCACCTCCTGTTCCCCACCGTCCTCGTGATCCCTCCCATGCACCCCCCCCCTGCCACACACCTCCCGGGCACCACTCACAGTGTCAGCGGGCAGTGGAGCCATTTGGAATCTGACGATCAACAAGCTCAGGCCTGCTGGATGGACCTCCGCTGATGCTGCTGGCCTGCCGGTGAGACTGCTGGGCTGAGAGTGGGAGTGTGGGTGGGGAACGGTGGGTTGTTTTGATAAAATGGGCAGGGAGTGCTGGTTGTGTTGTGGGGGAAGGAGTGGGGAGTGACGGTGCAGAGGGCCGTAGCTGGCCTTTTGCTTCTGTCTGTGACACACCACACCACACCACACCACACCACACCACACCACACCACACCACACCACACCACACCACACCGTGGTTCACTATCTGTGTACCGTAGCTGGCCTTTTGCTCCCTCCTCCTCCTCCTGCCCTGTCTGCCGCATGTGGCCTTATTCCCCTCCTGCCTGCCACATGGGGCGTTCCCTTGCCTCTTCTTCCTGCCTGCAGATGCTGCCTGGCTTGGCGCGCTATGCTGAGGTGGCAGCGGGGGCGATCAAGCACGCGCTGCGCTTCACAGCGGCAGCGACACAGAAGAAGTATGTGTGGCCCGCACGCCACTACGCCAGTGATTCCACCAACCCCAACCTGCCCCCCATGGGCCTCCGCCTGCGCCTGAAAAAGGTTCTTTCCTGACTTACTCACCTCTCACTCCTCACTCCGTTCATTCCCCCCTCCCCCAGTCCGCCCCCTTTTTCTGCCCCTTCTTCTAGTCTGTCTTGCCTGCGCAACTCTTTATGCAACGCCCAGCACACAACACATGTGCGTGTGCATGCAGACGCGTGCGCATCCGCTCTCAATCACACAAGCACAGTCGTATGCATGGGCGTGTTACCTTGTGAGCGTGGGCACTCACATGCATGCCCGTGCATGCACATACATATGTCCCACTCGCCCATCCCCTCTCACCGTCCTCAGCATACCAATGTTCAACCATTCCTCAGCTACAATCCTATTCATTCAACCCCAGGCCCTTCACCAATCCTCCCTTTCCCTCGCACCAGAGTTTCAACATCTCCGGCTTCCCGAAGCAGACCCGAGTGACCCTCCAGGCGCTCAAGACGTACGGCATGATGCTGGCGGACAATGGTGCACCTACAGAGTTTCCCTAATCAATCAACCCCAACCCCTTCCCCAACCAGAGTTTCGACATCTCCGGCTTTCCAAAGCAGACGCGGGTGATCCTCCAGGCGCTCAAGACGTACGGCATGATGCTGGCGGACAACGGCGCGTCCTGGTACATCTCCGGTGCGCCGCACGCCAAGTGGGACAATGACGACCTGCACTCTCTGCACCAAGTCCTGGGGAAGAACTACGAGGTTGTTGACATGAGCTCCGTGCCCAAGTACTAGCTGCTGGCGCTTGCTTGCTTGCTTGCCCCACAAGGTGACTACTGAGTTGGCTCAGAAGTCACCTCGCTGCGTGGGACAGCAACAGGCTGCATGCGCTGCACCGTGTGGTGGGGAAGCACTACGGTACCGGTGTTGAGGTTGCTCACATGAGCTCTGTCCCCAAGTACTAATTTTGAGTGTTGTTGTGCTTAGCTGAAACAGTAGCTGCTATGGGAGTGGCGGGTGTCTGGGGAGGGGTGGAGCAGGCGGATGGGTGTGGGGGAAGGGGGGAAGGGTTGGGGTGCGATTGGGACGGATAGTGAGCGTGATGTTAAGGCAAGGCAGGAGGCAAGTCGATAGAAGTGGGAACGAGGGGTGTGCGCAATGGGCATGAGGTGCAAGGGCAGGTGCGTTAGGCATAAATGGTGCGCAGTGTAGTGGGTAGATGTGGCAGGATCAGCAGCAGTGGTTGCACCAGTATTTGCAGGAGGAAGAGCAACAAATATATTATCTGAAAACGTTATTGGTGAGGTTTGGTTTACAGGGTGGGCTGGAGTAGAAGCTCGTATAGATGTGGCAATTTACGGTTTAGGGTAGGTACCTGTTACTGGTAGTGCAGTAATTGTCTTAGCTAGGTACCTGTTACTGGTAGTGCAGAACGTATTCTGATATGTACACTATACCCCTTCATGTAGACATTGCGTTTAGGCGTGGTTCTTGACTCTTAAGAATCCATACAGAAATGTTTTCAAGCTGCATCTGAGAATCGAAAATACACCTAGGCTACCATAGATAATTCTCCTATGACAACAAGAGGATAGCAGCATTCATATGAACAGTCAAATCAGGCTACAGCTACATAAAAGCGCCCTGCGTATAACATACCATACCGGTATTTGGCCAGCCAGCCACCCACCACTACAGATACTTGCCCGCGGGCCAAAGCTGTTCCTCCTCAGTGCCCTCATCGTCCTCCTCATCCTCTGCCTCTGTGAATTCATACACTTTCACCACTGCATGAAAGGATACCATTCGCCTGGACCCTTGTCTTCTAGGGGGGGCTGTGAGCGGCGGAGGCAGACTGGAAGGTGGGGCAGGGAGAGCAGGGAGAGGGGCACACTCCGCTGTAGAACTGGCTGCTGCAGTGCTGGACTCGTTAACAGCTGATTCATTAGGAGTGGGGGTTGCGAGCGGGTGAGCGCTGGGCTGGCGAGGGGAGGAGCCGCCCTTGGGGGGGCGGCGGGCGGAGGGGCTGATTGGGGCACGCACTTGAAACCCCACGGGGCCTGTAGCACGTGCTGCTGCTGCCATTGGCACTGCTGCTGCTGCTGGTGGGGTGTGTGGGATTGCAGGCCTCAGGGGGTGCGATGAGGGGGAGGACGAGAACGGGGCGAGCAAGTCGGGAAGGGAGGCGGTGCGAGTGATGCCCGACGCGTTGAGAGCAGAAGAGGAGGAAGGCAAGGAGGAGGAGGAGGAGGAGGAGGAGGAGGAGGGAGAGAAAGGGCTGGAGCGGTGGGAAGGTAACGGGGGAGCGGAGGAGCGGAGGTGGGTGACATAGGATGGGGAAGAGGAATGGGTAGCGCAGGGGGAGAGAGAACGGCGTGGGGAAGGGGGTGCGGATGAATACGGGGAGAGAGAGGGAGCGGGTACGGAGGTTGGTCTGGAGGAGAAACAAGGAGATGAGATGGAAGCATTCCGCCCTGCTTTACCACCCACTCCCACGCGTCCTTCCCTGGGCATGCCCCCATTCTGCTCCTCCTCCCCTTCCTGCACTGTAACACTTGTGCAGCTCTCCTCGCTCAACCTCCCTTCCCTCACCTCCCCCTCCAGCCCTCTCTCTCCTAGTTCCTTGCATCCCACGCCACACTCGACAACCACAGCGTCTGCACCACCTGCAGCACCACAAGCAGCAGCAGCAGCACTGGCAGCATGGGCAGAAGCAGCAGCACAGGAGAAACGCTCATCAGACTCCTCTCCCACTGCAGTGTTCTGGCGGCCGGACATTAGCCCCCCAGAAGCAGCAGCAGCGTTGGCAGCGGGAGGAGCCGTGAGTGTCCTTCCCTTGACATGCGTGGGCGAGAGAGTGAGAGACGGATGGTGCTGCTGCCTCCTGCGCTGCAACAGTGACACTGCCTGCTGCTGCTGCTGCTGCTGCTGCTGCTGCTGCTGCTGCTGCTGCTGCTGCTGCTGCTGTTGCTGTTGCTGCTGCTGTTGCTGAGAGGGCAGCTGTTGAAGCTCAACGGGCGGCTCAGCACCAGCAAGCTCTTCCATGACAGCCCCACCAGCACCAGCACCAGCACTAGCAATACCAGCAGCACCAGCACCATCAACCCAGCCACCACGCAATCCACTCATACGGCTGCCACTCCCCATTGCCGCCGCTGCTGCTAACACAGGCAGGTTGTTGCTGCTGCTGCTGCAGAGGCTGCTGGCAACACTGCCTGGGAAGGAGGAGAGCGACCAGGAGGAGGGAGAAGAGGCGTCAGACTCACATGCTGTACACACACCATCCAACACGCTCCCCACGAGCCCTTCTGACCCACCACCTGCTGCTCCCGGAAATCCAGGAGGATACACAGCAGGTACGGAAGCCCCACTGCTGTCTGCTGCAGCAGGGTTAGTGTCAGCATACACAGAGCACGCAACTGTGGAATCGGAATGACCGTTGTTGCCCGTTCTCCCTGCCGGCTCTTCTCTCCCCGAGGGCATGAGCAGCGTAAGTCGTTCCAGGGGTGCGCGTGTGGCCCTCACCCTACCATGCAGCGGTGCTTCGGAGGCTTGTTTTGATGGAGACAGCTCAACAAAGCTACACCCATCAGCAGCAGCGCTACCCCAAGTTGCAGTAGCCGCGTCAGCAGCAGTCTTTCGCGGTCTTTCCTTCAAACGTCTCGCTCTCTCCTCATCCTCCTGCGCCGAACCCCTCCCAAGATCTTTTTCCGCTGATCCTGCCCGCCGGTGTTTCCTCTGCCCGAAAATCCGTTCAAGCGTTGGTGACCGAACGGACCGGAATGACCTGCTGTTGCTGCTGCTACTGGCTCCGATGCCAGTGCCATGCTCTGCCCTGCTAGGGCTGCTATTGGATGGCTTGGGGAAGAAAAAACGAGCCGAGGCTGGAGATAAAGGGCTCGAACTCGCCACTCCTCTCCATCGCCCTGTTCCCCCCCCTCCTCCTCTCCCTCCTCCTCCCCCTCCTTCCCCTCCGCCTACTCCTCCTTCTCCTCCTACAGCTCCTCCTTTGCGCATACTGGCACTACGGAAGCTGCTTCTGGCGCTGCTGCCGTTGGTGCCAATCGGGTCAACCCCCCTCACACTCACGTCCAACCCACTTGCTCCAGCAGCAGCAGTGGCATCAAAAGCAGTTGCAGCAAAGCTGGTACCAGCCCAAGAGCCTGTGCGGCAGTGCCTGCGACCCAACCGCCTCTCGTTCGGACTAAGAAACGGATGCATGCTTGGTACAGGCGACGACCCTCCCCCCACTCCACTCCCTCCGCCTCCTCCTGCCCGCCCTGCTGCACCTCCTGCTGCCCGCCCAGCTGCCGCTCCTGTGTCCTCTACTGCTCCTCCTGCCCCCCCTCGTCCGCACCTTCTTTGGTTGTCTAGATAGGCCTCTGATGCGGTTACAGGGGCAAAGAGCGGACTGGGGGACGAGGAGGTTGAGGATGGGGAGAGGAGAGAGAGCGGGCTGCTGGCACTGCCTGTTCTCCTGTGCCTTCCACTGCCGAAACGCCACTTCAGAGAAGCAGAGGAGGAGGAGGAGGACGTGGAGGAAGAGGATGATGAAGAGGAGGAAGAATACAAGACAGAAAGAGCATCAGCGGAAACGCCACCAGCAGCAGCAGCAGCAGCGCCTGAAGGCGCAGCAGAGGATGGAACAGAGAAGACAGGGCTGCTTCTGAGGCTGCTTGAACCCCTGTCAGAAAAAGGGGTTCCCTTCCCCCCTCCTGCTCCTCCCCTTCCTTCCGCTGCTGCAGCATCAAAGCTGCTGCCGAACCCGCTGCTGAAGCTGCTAACGAAGCTGCTGCCGAAGCTACCAAATCCTGGCCGGTGGCGCGTGTGGCGAGGCTTGGGGGAGGGACTGGGCAGGGGAGGACCACCACCACCAGCAGTGGCAGCAGACGGAGAAGCAGCGGCGGCGGAAGCGGAAGAAGCAGCAGCATTGGAAGAAGAAGCACGGGCTCTCCCTTTTCCTGTGTGTGCACTCTCACCCCCCTCCTGCACTGCCCTTGCCACCTGGAACTGGAAATCCGCAGAAAAATCCGACGATCCTGATTTGTGCTTACTGCGGGGATGAGTGGCGGAGAGGCGGGCAAAGGAGAGGAAGGAGGAGGAAGAGGAGGAGGAAGAGGAGGAGGAAGAGCACGGGGGAGTTGTGCACTTCGCCAGAAACTGTTTCTCATTGTCATCTGCTCGCCCTTCCCCCCGTCTCCAATTCATTTCTCCTGCTGCTTCTCCCGCTGCTGCCCCTCCCGATCTGGTACCACCTGTCTCCCGTCTCCTTAATGAATCTGCTGCTCCCTTCCCCTTAAACGACCCCACACCCTCCTCCCTCCACCCCTCTCTCCTCCCCTCTCCCCTCTCCATCAAGCTCCCCCCACCGCTCCTTGCCCCGCATCCTTCCCTTGCCCTCTCCCTCCCCATGCTCCTGCCGCCTCGTTTGTGGCCTGATTCGTTTAAAGTGGAAGTGAGGGAGTCTATAGAAGCACGCGCCCAGATGCGGTCGTGCTTGCGGCCAGAGCAGATGCGATTATCCGAAAGGGGGATGGCGTCTGGAGGGGGGGCGGTGAGGTTGGAAGAGGGGGAGGCGGAGGCGGAAAGCGGACGAGTGGGGGAGAAGGAAAAGGAAGGTGCTTGCCGCGGCGGGTAAAGGGAAATGCGAGAGTCTGGGCTAGAGGGAATGCGGGAGGAGTGCGGCGAGAGGGACGGGGAAAGGAGAGAGGAGGGGGTGGAGGAGGGGGAGGAGGACGAGGGAAGAGGAGGAAGGGAGAGATCAGTTGACTTGCTGAGAGTGGGGGTGAGAGAAGAGGAGGGGAGACGGCGAGGGAGAGCAGAGGATGGGGAAGCAATTGGGGAAGACCAGGAGGAAAAGGAGGAGGATGCAGGGAGCGGATGCAATGGGGCCATGCAATCCGTGCTAGTGGTAGTGGCAGCAGTGGCGGCAGCAGTGGTCCTGGCAGCAGCAGTTGCAGGAGTGGTGGATAAGAGGGGAGCGGTAGCTGGGGCAAGGGGGGAAGGGGAGGAGGGAGAGGGGAGGAGGAATTCCTTAGAGGCGGCGAGGGAGGAGGAAGGGGAGGGTTGGGAGGAGTAGGGAGGGAGGGAGAGGGTGAGAGAGGAGCCTTTTGCTGACAGGAAGGCTGCCTTGGCGTCTGTTGCAGAGGAGGAGGAGAGGGAGGAGGAAGAGGAAGAGGAGGAGGAGGAGGAGGAGGAGGAGGAGGAGGAGGAGGAGGAGGAGGAGGAGGAGGAGGAGGAGGAGGAGGAGGAGGAGGAGGAGGAGGAGGAGGAGGAGGAGGAGGAGGAGGAGGAGGAGCAGGAGGAGGAGGAGGAGGAGGAGGAAGCAGAGGAGGAAGCAGAGGAGGCAGAAGAAGAGGAAAGCGAGAGGTAGCCCTTATCGGACCAGTGCTGGTGCAGTACAGAGGCGGAGAGGATGCGATCGGAGGGCAGCCAGGGGCTGGGCGGAGGGGTGTCGTGCGAGAGCAGCTGCCAGGCGGCGTGCGCCTGCGCTATCACCACCATGGCCGCCTGCATGCTCGCTGGCGCGTCTCCCAGCGCGAACTCGCACTCCTCGTCGCCTGTATGGGCGGACGGGGTGATGCGGGGGGAGCGGGGGAGAAGGGGAGAGAGGGGGAGAGGGGGAGAGGGAGAGAGGAGGGAAGGGGAGAATAGTTAGAGGGGTGTGAAGAAGATGCGGTTGGGAGGGAGGGAGGGAGGGAGGGGGAAAGTAAGGAGCGAGCGAGAGAGAGGGAGAGGGGTGGGAGAGGGCGAGCGTACCTGGTTGCACGCAGGTGCAGAAGCGGAGCCACTCCTGGATCTGCTCGAGCACGCCAGCGAGCACGGGGATGGGCGCCTGCATGCCCTGCAGCGTGCTCGCTAGAGCATCCTCCGTCGATACCACCACCAGCTTCCACGACAGCACTCGCCTTCCCCACACCCCACGCTGCTGCTGCTGCAGCTCGTGCTTTCCCCGCTCCTGTTGCCCTTGCTGCTGTGGCAGTTCCCCCTCGCTCCCCATCGCTCTCTCTCTTTCCCTCTCACCTTCCCCATCGCGCCCGTCCTCCGCGTGGTCCCCCTCGCTGCGGGGCTCAATCACTGCAAACACGGCCACGGGCAGCACGGAGCATACCTCACCAGTCCGCATCCGCTTTAAGCCTATCTCGATAGCCTCTAGAGGTTTTCCGTCGTTCACCAGGAGCGACGGGCGCCACGAGGGGGTTACATTGTTACTATCCTCCTCCACCTCCGCCCTCTCACACCCCCTCTCTTCGTTGCTAATTCGCGCAGCGCCACTGCCACAGATGCTGCTGCTGCTGCTACAGCCGCTGACACCACTAGAATGCCAGCCGTCGCTGTACCTGAAACTGTCGCTCGTTCTGCTTCTGTCACCTCCGAATCTGCCTCGGCCAATGGTGCAGGGACCACTAGCACCACCGCCCCTGCTATCTCTCTTGCTGGTGCTCCCGGATCTGCTGCTTTTACCTGTAACGTTACCGTTACCGCTACTGAGGCCGCTGTGACCACCGGCACATTTTTCTGAACATACCGAGCAGTTACACTCCGTTTCTGACCCGTTCCCGCTTCCTGCCCCTCCTTGTTCTCCCCACTCCTCCCCTTCCCCCCCTGTGCCGCCCGCCATGCTCGCGAGAAGGTCTAAATCCGCGCTAACAGGCTGCTCGGGATCTGCATAAGTCTGCGGCAAGAACCCAATGTTGAATATCGAGTTCTCCGCATAATGCAGCCCTCTATAACGAATATTCTTTTGTCCTACTGACTTCCCTTCCGCTCCTCCCCCCGTGCCCCTCATGTGAACCTCGCCACCCGCGCCTTCTGCTTCTCCTTCCCCTTGCGCGCTCGCCCCACTCCCCGCCCCTGGGCGACCGCTCGCGCCAGCGGCGGAAGGACCCGCGGAAGCCGCGCGCTCGACGCGGATGGGGGTGAAATCCTCCGCCTTGGCGGTCTCGTAGCGCACCCACGAGTCCTGCGGCGTCTTGCACACAAAGCGAAGCGCGCCGTTCTTAGCGTGCAGCGGCACATGGTGCCAAGGCGACACTAATTGCCCCTGAAAATCAAGCAGCAGCGACCGGTAATTAAGAGACCCCGGATACCCGAACTCCACCGCGTTCCACGGGCAGATCTGCTCCAGGATACTTGCCACGTCAGCGTTGGTTCCGCCTTCACCGCAGCCGCCGGGAGAGACGGGCGCGGGGGAGGTGGGGGATTGGGGGGGGGAGTCTGAGCCCAGTATGGAGTCCCATGCCTTGGAAACTGCGGAGGAGGGGGATGGGGACGCGGCGGAGGGGGACGCGGACGGTGCGCGGGGGGCAGCGGGAGCGGAAGGAGCGGAAAGTGCGCCAGTTGAGGGGGAGCGTTGGGACTGACGAGGCGGGGACGCGGGCATGTTGGATAAGGAGAGGGGATGGGGGGAAAGGGGATGGCAATGGGGATGCGGTTCGGAGGCGGAAGGGAGCACGCAGTTGCGGAGGGACACGCCGCTCAGTGCCATGCAAGCGCGCCGAGCATAGCGCTGCGAAAGACACCGCTCGCGATGGTAACCCAAAAATGAGGTGCAACCAGAGGGCTGCTACTAAGGTGTGCCTTAACTACCGCTGCTGCCGAATCAGCTCTCGCCTAAACCGCCGTAGCACGATAGTACAAAATACGCGGTAATGAGAGCCAACGCGCCCTATCACGCCGAGATACTCGCGCGGAGAAGAGGTTTACGCGGAAGACCGGATAAACGTGTAAGGTTTAGGCGGCAAGACTGCAAGTCGAGACACGGATATACGGCGACCGGGATAGACGAGCGCAACGCGACGATCATGCATCGCACGGTAAGTAAGCAAGACTCGTCGCGACGCTAAGCAGGCCTGCTGTTGGAGGCAATGCGGTGCGGTGCCATGCGGTGGGACGATGCAGATGGTACCGCGCGGGGCAAGGAGGCAAGGAGCGAAAGCAGTGAGAGAAAACAGGCGGCACGGTTGTGCATCGACCTAGGGAAGTCGGGGTCGCCGCAAACGACAGCAATAGTAGGAGGCGCGACGCGCTCGATCCAGCACAGTTCGAGGGGTTCGCTCTTGCGCGCACGCAGTCAGGAAGAGGCACGCGAGGCGAAGGACCTTAGCGGTGCAGGGCGGGAGATTGTAGAGACCGAGAGGAGCTGGCGCAGGAGGCGGAGACGGCGGGAGCGGCAACAGGGAGCAGTTGGTTTTTTAGAAGTTTTCTGAAAATGTACAAAATTCAGTTAGAGAAGCCTGGTTGAAGATTTGAATTTGTGCGCGGACAGCTGGGAGGAAAGCTGGCGCGCACGTATCTGTTAGGAGCGGACGTGAGTGAGCGGCGGCCAGGAGAAGCAAGGGCAATCCGCAACTAGAAAGGCCGTGGAAGGCTGGAGAGGAGGGGCGAGGATGAGAGGAGAAGAGTGGCGGAAGGGGGAGGGGCGAAGGAGCAAGAGGAGAGGAGGCACACGCGCGGCATGACGCCGATGGCAGTTACGGAGAAGCGTGAGAGGCGCGCTGAGGACCTTTCGCTTCGTTCGGTGGACGAGGCAGAGATGCAACTGGTGCGCTAGGTTGGCATCCCTGCAAGCGCGTAGGGGTGGATCGCATCACAGGCTGGAAGAGTGACGAGCAGAGGAGTGAGAGTATGGGTTAGAAAGGCACGAGGAAATGTCGTCGAAGAAGAACGGATGGCTTGGCCAGAGGTATGCAGCTAATAAGAAATGGAGAGCCAGCGAGGTGGACGGGGAAGGAATGATGCGAGCGAGTCAGCTTGGAGATGGCTCGTTTTGCCAGCTTGGAGATTAACTACTGTACGCGGCGGGATCGAGAGAACAGTGCACGCCTCTGAAAACACAAGCATGAAGATGTGATAGTAACGGATTGCTGATTTCCAGATTCTCTAAGGGCGGGTCCAGCGCGTACGTTTACAGTTCATCCTCTGCGGTTGACCGTGCTGCGTCACGGTTGAAAACGGTGGAAACTGAAAATCGCTTTGAACCGTTTGATATCGTTTCGCGCCATGGGTCCTGAACTGTAAACGAACCTTTGTGTACGCGCTGGACACGCCCTAGGCTTGCTGAACTGCACTGTACTACGTGTACATTACAAGCGAGTGACACTGTTTCATTGTACACTGTACTCTATCTCTCCGAACCGAGGGTGCGTGATGAGACAATCTGGGGTGAAAGGATGGTTGTGTGCTTCAGCACAGTGAGTCTTGCTAGGGTGTGTGTCGAGTCGAGTCGAGTCGAAGGACGACGAGTCACGGCTGAAGATGGGGAAGCAAGAAGAGGGAGGAGATGCGCAAGTGTTCTGCACACCTGTATCAAAGCAGTCGGGAAAATGGTCCCGAATCACAAAAGATTTGGAGCTAGGATGCCACTGAAGGGTCGCAGTCATTCTCTTTGCGACCAGGCGATTGATGCGATGAGAACGATTATGCAACCAAGAACGAAACAAATTGTGAGGAGGATCCGTTCGCACTAAAGAATTCGGGTGTCCCAGACTGACAGGATATTGTATGGAAGAGTGAGCCGGTCAGTCTGAATCGCTAATCTCTAAATGTCTGAGTTGGTGCAGACATTTAGAGATTAGTTCATCGTTCAGTACGTTAGGACGTGGCTTAGACCGTCTTTGATTGCCTCGGTCAGAGGCGAACAATAACTTCCAGGAAGCCCCTATGCCGATTTCAGGCAATCAGGGGCAATCAACTGATCGCGATCAACTGATCGCCCCAACTCAATCAATCGCCTCAAACACCCCGATCAATCACGATCACACACAATCAGTCACGATCAGTTGATTGCATGGGATGGGGATCCTTGCGACGCTTGCGAAGCAGGTTACAGTTTCTCGTTGAGATCGGCACACAATCGCGCAAACATTATCCTAAGTGTAATTTGCGATATTACGTGGAAACAGAAAATTCGCAACGTCTTCGCAATCGCCAAAATTGGGACGAAAGAATCGGGAAATGCTGACACGCTTGCGAGGAAGGCGCCTTAACTTCTCCAGGAATATCAGCATTGATCGGGCGGCGTGAGCAATGCAATCAGAAGCAACCCGATCAGATCCAGCCCGATCATATCAGCGCCGATTAGAGGCGGTCTGGGCCACGTCCTCAGAATGTGGCTGGAATAATCTAGTCTACAAGTGATTCATTGCTAAAATGAATAGACGCCACAGTGAATGATTGATAGAAGCCTAGTTTGTGTGCCTAAAAGTTTGCCCCTGGAAATTCGGGTATCGAGGCTTTCATCTGTCACTAAAGCGCCACAAGTGCAAAACTTCCAGAAGAAGGGTTTCCCTGGAGAGAAGTCGCCAACTCTGCAGACGACGAGCAATTGCGACCTGCCTCCCTCCCTCCATGCGACCAGCTGGCACCGCGTTTCGACCAGCTGTGTTCGCATGCTGCAATCTGGCACAGGCTGGCCCTGCCGCAATTCCCATCGGTTTGGAAACTGGTAGGACGGTGCTGGCAGGGACGCTTTGCAACAGTCGTCCCTTTGAAGTCTGGCTGGCAGGGACGGTGCTGTACCCGCTGGTTTCGATGTCAACTTTGCTTGGTTGGTAGATGTGGGACTGGAAGTTAGGCTGTACCCTGGTAGGGACCTAGTCTGGTCGAGGTAAGCTGTGCGGAAATGTCTGTGATAAGGTGTTATGCACTGTAAGGAAATTCCCTTTTCCTTACTTCGCATCTCTGCTCAACGCGTACATCACTGTAGCACCTCAGTCAGCACCGTTACCACTCGCGACCATCGCATCATTCATCATCCCGCCATTTTCGCACATCGCATCCCGACCTCACGGCTCGGCTGGTAACCCGCGCTCCGGGCCTACGCTTCGACACGTTCCCAACCTCAGTCCCAGGCTCGTCGCGCGACCATTACCGTTACCACTGTAGTTTCGCTATATATTCTTCGCTCATACCTTCGCTCATTGTACTCTTGTTTCGATAGTGCAATTCTCGCTCGTTCACTCAATTGCACTCGTAACACTTGGTATTCAGAGCCTACGATCCCATCTCGGACCGCATCCACACCTTCACTTCCCCACTATCTCAATTTTTGGGGGGGGGTAGACGTCTCTCAGCGATACAGCACCGCCGCTCGTAGTGCTCTCTCGCAAGCACGCACGGCCACGACCGAGGCTCTCGCTGAGCTTGCCCGACACCCCCGCCATGGCCGATTTGACGCTCGCCACATTGACGCAGGAGCAACTTGATCGTCTCGTACGTCAACTGGAGGATTCGGCGCTTGAAATCGCGACCCTCACAGCGGAACGTGACTCCGCCCGTCAACAATCCACGATGAACGTACCGACGACATCCCACGCACCAACAAACGCATCTGCACGTTCGGATGAGCCGATCATCATCTCGTCCGGCACACCAACACAACACGACAGCACGGGACAACGCTTAGGCGCAGCCAGTGAGGGCGCCGCCCAGCCGATGCCTGGCATGGGAGGAAACAGGATCGCACCAAGCCCACGGGAGCCTCGAGAAGTCCGTCGGCACGTGGAATTTGCGGCGACAAGTGGCGAACAACCCAACATGGCACCAATGCCGCTCAAGCCGCAACGCCCGCCCTGCTTCGACCCAAGTCAACGCGGCGGTCCGACAGTTCAATCGTGGGTCTTCACGATGAACGTTTTCTTCGACGCCAATTACGTCGAGTCGGACGCCGCAAAGATCCGGTATGCGGTTTCACTGCTAAGAGGCCCCGCCATGGACTGGTGGCGAGTCATCGTGACGTCGCCACGCGCCTACGAGCCACCGTCGCACGAGGAAGGGCCCTCGGGTCCAGCTGTCACCTGGAGTTCGTTCTGCGAGACCGCCCAATACAGCACGTGGGATGCGTGGTGCGCAGGACTTCGGGCGCGTTTTGAGCCGATCGCGGCTTCAATTTTGGCGCGTCAGAAACTGCGCACTTGGCGCCAGCTCGGGTCAGTTCAAGACTATACCAGCGGTTTTCTTGCACTTTGCGAGCAGGTCGGCTACATGCACGAAGCGGAGCGGGTGGACCGTTACGTCGGAGGGCTGAAGCCGGACATCTCGCACGAGATCATGCTGCGCGGACTCTCTAACTTCAACGAGATTCTCGCGCTCGCCGAGAAGATCACCATTCTACGCCGACCGAGACCGGGGTCCTATTACGGACATCGTCCTCGGGGACCGACCGAGCACGCCACTGTACACGCCGTCGCAACGAATGCAGCTGCCGCACCGTTTAAGGGGCGCTGCTTTGCTTGCAACAGGCCGGGTCATCGCAAGAGCGAATGCCCAGAGGAGCTGAGGCGCCGAGGAGCAGAGCAGGGGAGGGAGTCTCAGAGGCAGGGAAACGCCAGCAGTCAGTAGAAGTTGGGCCAACTACTGACGAGACTGCCTGCTCGCCCAACCACACCGACCCTCACCGAGTCACAGTACCGATTCATGCCATCGATCGGGCTCGGATGAATAAGGAGGGTACAGCGACGGATTGCCCGGTACTAATCTACGGGAAAATACAGGGAGCAGCAGTGAAGATTTTTATTGACGGAGGAGCAAGTCACAGCTTAGTTAATACCGCAACCGCACGGAAATTACAGTTAACACTTAACCGATGCTTACCTGAGATAGATGCACGCTTAGTCGACGGCACGCCACTGGCTATACGGGAAAAGGTGGAGAGGGTAAAGGTCCGCTGCGGAGGGAACTTCGGGTTTACACAGGAAATGCTCGCAACGACACTGGATGGGCACGACATTTTATTGGGACGTGATTGGCTGCGACCGTATAACCCACGAATTGACTGGACGACGGGTAGCTGCACAGTGCGAAGTA